GAGGCTCACAGGCATCTACATCTATCCTCGATTCAGAATGAAAATGCAGATGCATTGTCACCCTTGACGACTAAGATAAAATATCTCGTTTTCAGTAAAATGAGTCTCGGGAATCTCTGCACTTACCATACCACACACAGCAAATTTCATTCGCTATTTCACGCTGGTATTGTGTGATAGCATGTTCCTTCCTCGATCAAGCCGACCCATTCGTGTTACAACCATAATATAGCTGCAGCGTGTCTCCACCACGTATAAAAGGAGCTTAAGTACATACAGTGAGTATTAAAAAGCCTTCGAAACTCAGTGGAGCCAGCTCGGTGAAGTTTCGTAGTACGCGAGCGATAAAAATTGAATCCCTACCATCATCATCATCATTACAGCCCTTCACAAGTCCACTGCTGAACATAGGCCTCCCCCAAAGAATGCCACAAAACACGGTCCTGAGCCACCTGCATCCATCGACTTCCTGCATGTCTTACCAGGTCGTCACTCCATCTCGTGGGGGGACGCCCTACACTTCGCCTACCGGTACGAGGCTGCCACTCGAGAACCTTTCTTCCCCATCGGTTGTCGGTTCTTCGAGCTGAATCCCTACCATCAACAATTAAATAGCTTTAGTTACACCAGTACAGTTTCAAGTGTTGATTTACTTTTGCTCGGCGGTGAAGGAACACATCGCAAAGAAGCCTGCATGTCTAAGAAATGAAATAAATATTTCGGCCACATGTGAAGCTCGCCAACACTATTTAGACCACCACGACGACCTCTTCCTTGCCCTGAAAGCTTAGCTGAAATGAAAGGAAGCTCCTGCCCAACAATCGGATATATATGGATGGATGTATATGTATTTAGGTTAATATTATTTTACTTTGCTGAACCTGTTGTGTGTGAGGGAGGAAAAGAGAGAAGAAAATAAAACAGCAAATGCATTTATAATGTTACATTTATTGAGCCCGCTCGGTAGGTACATGACGGTCAGGTAAGGCCGGGAGCGCGTCCATACGAGAAAACGCAGCCTGCCGATACACACGTGCGAATGTTTGGCTGGAGGTATCTATCAACTAACTTCCAAAGGCTTCCATGTATACTACCGGACCGGCTATTCAACAAAAACTGAATCACAACAGTACAGTTGTATTTTCATTTAAGATAGGTACTGTTTTTACAAATTTGTTGTAAATACGAATTAAAATACATACTGCGAAATAAATTTTAAATCATGTTGACAAAGACATAAATAATGACAGCGTTTTATTTGTCACATTAAACAAAATTAGTGTTAGATTGTCGAAATCAACGTTTGTGGTTTACAAAACAAAGAACTAGTGTTCTCGACCGCTCGCAGTTGACGACACAGACTAACTAGTAGATTCTACATGTTGACGATAGAAGTTACGGAGAATTAAACAAAACTTAGTGCGCTATGTATTACCACCGTAGTGCCATCTAGTAGCATACATAGAAGTCTTTGCAAACTTCTTTTTGATATGTACCGTAAAATATTAAACCCTAAATTGTCGCATCATACATTTAGTTTGTCAATTTGATATCACCAGTTCAACTGCAATTTTATTGAAAATTTTATTACATGAAATTACATATAAACAAATCCATTATCTGTGTAATAAATACAATACGCGATAAAGCGTCCCAAACAAAAAGTCACAATATTATATCGTTCTATTCATTGACATCCTTTATGAGGTTCCGATAGGGATACAAAGTAACCATCGCAGTTATTTTACAACTCTTAGATCATACATATTTAACATTTGCAATTAACTACTTAACAATTATATGTGTATTGTGATTAACATACGATTAGACGCATAGGTACCTATAATTTACAGATTAGGCGTATTACAAATTAATGATGATGCTTATAGAAAAAAAGGCAGAAATTGTAAGCAGATATATACAGAGCAGTATGTTATTTAGAACTAGTAACGCGCCCCGGATTCGCCTGGATCGATATCTACTAATAAGGCATTATTTAGATTTAAGATAATCAAAGACCATTTATTTTATTTATTTTTTTAATTTTCAAGGTTTTCAGGTTAAATATAGCCCAGATCCCTCCTGACATTCTCCTCCATTTGTTTATAGAGTTTCATCACAATCCGTTTAGCCATTCCGAAGACTAGCCCGGACAGACAGACAGATAGACAAAAAATTTAAAATGTTTAATAGAAGTTATTTATTTTAATGTTATCTATATACAGACATTTCAATTTTATTTGTATGTATTATGTATAGATAATGTAATCATTGCACCTGATTGTTTGCAAACACGTAACACAACACAAGCTGTGTCAGTAGCATAGTGCACATACGTTGTGGGTGAGGCTCGAGCGGGCCCCGCTGCCCGCTGCCTGTCGCTAACTATTTACAACTCTCGCTAACTATCTATGTATAAGGATACATTTATCTATAGCTATGGGTATGTATTTACATACGTATTTATATATTGATTACATAGTAGTGGCACGCTGTGGTGCGGTGTGGTGCGGTGCGGTGTGGTGCCGATGGGCACGAGCATAGGCTCTTTGTGTATCCTATATCGTATAGACGATATAGGATACACTAATACTGCTTAAATAATTTCATTTGTAAAGTCACAATTAAAAGTTTTCGTAAATAAAAATTATCATCAATCAAAAGATTATTTGTTACATAAACATTTACTACCTATTGTAATTTGTTTATTTCTGTAACTTGTACACGAACACAGTTTGTTCATATAAAGAATTGCCATGGCCCAAAATTTAATTAACATTAACACTTTTATGAAGATGTTAAAGTTTAATTAGCTAAGATCTGCATAAAAAATAAAAATAATTTGCCTCGCCCAGTTTGAGAAGCACTTCCCAAGTTGAGACCTTGAGAGGGAGCTTAGTTTAGCTAATTAATTTTTAACATCCAAAAAGAAATCTAAATTTTAATTTCCGCAAAGTAATGCATCATTCCATGAGTTATTTAGATTATATTTTAAATAATTCTTTAAAACCCATCGTACAAGCAATAAATAGATTAATAGATTTTATTTTACAGCATCTACCAAAGTTAATTAACACGAACGTTACTGTTACTTAAAGACTTCTGCATCTTCGTATCACTATCTGAACAACAATTAATTTACTAAGCTGGACAGCAGTAACAGAGAGATGTGTAAATACTGCACTTGGAGTTATTAATGATGTCTTCAAGTAACATAATCTGTTATTAACAAGTAAAATGTATTATATATAATTGTATTGTTGGGAATGAGAGTAAAAAATAAATAAAAGGAAATGCAAACAAATGAAGGTAGAACATATGTATTACGGGTGGTCGAACTGTATTTGCTCTATACTGAATGTGTAGTGCTGTACGCTGTCTTATTTCTGATAATGATCAATTGCGTAAGCAAGAGAGCAAGCTGAACATCCGCTCTCACACTTTTATTTTTAACAATTAACCTTCAGAGTAAATTCTAACACGAGTAACATTCTTTTATTAAAATAATTTTGTGAATAATTTCTAACATCAAAAATGGAATACTTTCTAAATATATATAGGTATATATACCCTTGATATAGGTAGGTGTATTTAAATGGAAAACTATATCATGCACTGTACGCTCAACACAAACATAAAGTATTTAAGCGTTACGGAAACAAATCAAATATCATGCCGACATGTAGATATAATTAAGTACAAATTAGTATTTATTGGAACATGAGTTAAGTTTTGTTTATGAGTGTAAGTTGTGCGGCGTGCGACAGACCAATAAAAACACAGAGAACGACATTCCTACGGTAGTACAAGTGGATTGCTATTTTAGAAACGGCCGTAAAATGTTTATAAGTGCTGAAGGTGGCTCGCGTGCCGCAGTCCGCACAACTTGAGCACTCGAGACACCAAGCGTGGACTCCACGCACTCGCACCCACCGGGGCGCTGCACCCGAGATCGCCAGCGAGTCCTTTACCATAGTAGAGTCCGTGCGTTCTATCTTGACCGGGCTGAAGTTGGCTCTCCGAGACATTCGCAGATGTTCCGATCATGTCGATAGAGATGTACTACTTCATATTTGATCCTAAGATTACCTAGGGAAACGTTTCTTTTGTCTATATCTATTATAGAATAAATTGAAAATATGTTTATGTATTTCAATGAAACAATACCAACAATACAAAGTTATACCTGATATTGGTGGGGACAACAAATTCTTTCAGTAACTCCAAAATAACATAACATTAAAATTTTCAATAAAATCTTTAAAACGACATGTTGCATTTACACACAACAAACTATATGTGCGAAGCCAAACAAACTACATAACTTCAGCCTGGTTGGGATAGAACACGCACACTTCACATTTGACAGCTTCTGTTGCACGTAATCAACTATAAATATATAGTGCCCTTATCTTTAAAACATTTACAACTGTATCAATATTAGAGCTAGCAGAATAACAGAATATTGCTAGCCATAAGTAAGAAGGATCAGTTACGTAAAGAACGCAGAATTTTCCCGATGTAATACGTCGAGGAATAGGGACGCGAGCGCTTCGTCTATAACACGATAGCTCTTTGCGGGTGCAGCTTCCACAGCGTGATTATTTTTTCGCGTCTTTTTTAACTCCGACGGAGAGGAACACGTAGCCTGCGGAGGTTGCCGGGATAACGTTCCAGAAGTTCATGATTCAACTAAAATGACAATAATTTAACAGGTTCAAATTAAACAAAGTCCGTTATGTACAGAAACGCACAGCACACTCCTCGGACCACCGCCCCAGCTCCTCGTGTAGTTTACACTAAGTACTCTAGTTTATACAAGCTAACTCTAAATACATCTAGATCGGTCGCTATGTAACTCTATGCCTACAGCTATTAATGTCTTTCTTTACAGCCTTGCGGTTTGCATTGCAGGAACTGCGTGCGTTGCACACGCACACGTACACGCACACGCGTGCACGTGACACGCGTCACGCACGTTACACACACTCGGTGCGCACTCAGAACCAGTAGAGATCCTTAGACGTGTCCTGGACCTGCGCCTCCAGACCTGTCGACAAACAACACGCTGTTAGAGACAACACCATACGAGTAACAAGTTAGTAGGTGAAATAATGTCAACACATGAATGACATGAAAAGTCAAAATTTCATTTGTTAAATAATGTTTCTCTAAGACGACATTCCTCGAAACTGCTGTACCTACTTTATCTGCATTATCGGCTAATGATACTATAGATAATATAACGTAACACTTAAGTCCTTTCATCTATGAGGGAGATCTGTGCTTAGCTGTGAGATGCATATACGACTAGAATTTTATTAAATCAAAACTGTATAAAAAGGGGTATTATAATATAAATGAATACAAGGTTGATAATAACCCCTGGGAATGAGGTGCTCGCTTCCAAGCTGCTTCTTAAATAAATTTTGTAAATTGACTGCAAAAAAATTCCCGCCGGGTTTCTTGCTGGTTCTTCTCAGGACAGAGGTTTTTTTTTGAACCAGTGGTAAAGTAAAAAAATGACTTTCAATTTTTACTTTCTTGTGTGTGGGCTAAAGAATATTAGAAGCTCAATGTAACCACTATATAGTTGTAACATGGCTCTACCACGTATAAAAGTAAACAGACATATTTTGTTAATTTAAATAGCGTTGAAATATATACAATATTAAAAAAAAAAACTCTTGTAAAATAACTAAAACTAAAAACCTAAATTATTATACAATCCTGCTTCCCGCAGTATCGTATCAAGAACGCTGGCTGCGTTTCCCCGCTGAATGGCTATACTTAGCCTTTGAGCGAGAAAAGAACCAGCCTTCTTATCACGGGCGGCAACGACCAGCCGCGGTTGGAGTTCCTTTAGGAACTTCACCACACATGAACACCATAGAACGGTAGTCTCTACAGCAAATGGCACAAATATATAGTCATCTCTCAGAGACTCATATTTGCGCTACTTACTTCCGCTGATGTAGCCCCGGCTCTAAACGAGAAATATAATCTTAGTATTTGATTTAAATCGGTATAACATATTAAGTGTCGATTGATTTGTCTCATATCCGACGTGGACACATTTGTTGGCACGCTGAGTGCGCGGAGGCTGGCAGCCTGGCAGCATGGCCGCACGTCAATCAGTTCAAAGCGCAGCGAACTAAATCAATCGCGGATAATTGACAGGCGCGCATTAATCACGCGCTCGCCGCCATCTCACGCCCCGTCGCAGATCGATTTGCGAACATTGCGAGCGCCGATAAAACTTCTATTAATAATTGGCGTTGAAAACCGAAATGTGACAATCGCAAAACCGCTCTCATGATCTACATAAGTGCCTACTCTTCAAAGTAGATTCATCATTACAAATTCTCTACGTCTCTATAAGCTTTTGTAAATCTTTCATTATAAAATATTTGAAAAACTTCTGCTAATTATATTGATTTGGTGACCTGTAACTCAGGTTTTTAATATAAAACCTATGATAGGTACCAGTCTTTCACAACGCTAGGTCCTTACTATGTACATCGACATTGTTAAATAGCCAGTACCTAAGTTGTGAAGAGATAAATAAATTGAATTGAAATTTTAGCAGACACAGCAATTTGTAATCAATTTAAGAAACAATGTTTCAAACAAAGACATTTAAGTAGTCATCTATATATTTAAATCTCTTTGGTTTCAAACAAACTACAAATGTTTCTTCTAAATAAGCATTTTATTCATATTAGAGATATAAATTTAACTGATGTTGAGTGGCTTATTCCAAACAGATGCTTGCTCATACAGACTCTAACTTAGAGAAGGAAACCTTTCTTATTCCATAATATCCAATCCATCACATACTAGTGTACATATACGTAATGTTGTAGGCTTACTATGACATCTGGACGTCAAACACCGTGACCATGGGTGCTGTCGAATACCCGAAACGTAGAGAATTAAAATAAGTTATATTAAACGCGATAATGCGTAAAATTAGTTATATTCAATGTCAAGTATTCGTGTAAATATAAGAAATCATTGTCAAACCGGTTTCTGAAAGTTCAATGTAGAAAAAGAATTCGATAATATGAATGATCGCTGCAGATGTGTTTACGTGCGTTGGTATATCGTAGGTTGTGGCGAAGGCGACGCGGCGCGGCGACCGGCGCACTCCAGCTGCCTCATTTGCATCGCGTATAGATTAACTTTTTTTTTCTTTGGCAAAGGACTCGTAAGTGCTGTTTGTACTTTTGCCAGTAAGAAGTATTTAAGAAATTATCCTTTATACTAATTTGTTTAAAAAGCTTGTATTTTTTTGATATAGTTTCACGGCAGCTATAGGTACTATATACCTAGACACCTAAGCAGACACATTAGCTTGAGGTTCACATCACCATCGGAGCACTTATATATCACCGTTTGCACTTATAGTTCATATACGCAGATATTTAATACTAAATCGCACCACTTTTAAGTATAAAAATGTGCCTAGGTACCTACTTCAAATCATTATTTTAACATACAGGAGCAGCTATCAACCAAGGATGAAGCTCCCGCCAAAACTCCCTAGACTTACTTAAAACCACGGCTCAGCAATGGTCTCAAACGTGAAAATGCAAAATCGATAGAGATGCCAAGAAATTTTAGAAATCGGTAATCGGTAAATATCGATATCTATAAAATGTATTTATTTTAAACAAAAGTTGTAACTTTGTTAAATAAAAGGAACATAGGTAGATACCTACACAATGTTACGCAATAAAAACCTAAAATGAATTAGGTATGATATTTTAAATATAGATAATAACATAAATGAATTGTGAATTTATTAAACTTTTGTGAATATTAGGTAAAACCTCAATCAATGTAGGTACCAATAAAGTTATCTAACATCAAATATGGTAACCATCTTAATACAATATTTTAAGATCCTTAGGATCGTACTAGTGTTCTTTGGCATTAGGTACTGCAGTCATTATTGAACTAATGTAGACAATGATCGTCATTAATTAATCATTTTCTATGTAACAAAGCAGTGGCAAACTCAGTAGAGTAAGTAAGTACTTACTTATACCTACATAATATTTATTTAAGCAAAGAGATTACTACCTATTGAAACATAAACACGTAATAAATCTACAAGAACAACGTTACGTTTGAGTTTGAGAACCATGTCATGCAAATGAGGACAATGTAGAGATCGCGTGAGTTGATAACTACAGATGCATAGATGCAGATCAACACAACAAAACGCGTTAATAAATTGTCATCTTTTTTTTGCTTTTAAACATCGCTATTTTTCTTATTATTTGATTGATTGATTCTCATACTTATTTATATTATAATTTTGAGTTTAGATTAGAATATAATGACAGTTGTTAAATGTGTTAAAATTAAACTAGGTATATTTTGAATTTCACAATACCACAGAATAAATAATACTACAAGGCTAACTAAATCGTTTCTCGGTTGAACCACAGAATAAATTAAGTTGACTGATATTTTAGAAATTATCAAAAGGAGGCTTCATCAATCACAATGATGTAGGGGGATAAATGAGTGTGGCTGCGGTACCGGGACTGCAGCGCTAGAGAGTTAGAGAGCAGTAGAGGTATTAATTAAATTGAAGGCGCGTGTTGATTGCGCCGCATTCGACGGGGGAGGGGCGGGAGGTAATTGACAGTGGACGTGATTTAGTGGTTGCGGCTGTTGTGACCGCCCTAGGGGCGGGGTCTAGCGACGCCGCTATTGGCCCAGCGGTAACTTGGCGCGCAAGTCCCGCCCCTTTGCGTCTGCCTCACCGCAACCACCGCCCGCAGCTTATGCGTGCCTGGTAGCGGGCGGCTGCACAAATGCCGGACAGGACGATGGGACCGCTCGAAGCTTCGTCAGCTCGTCGAACTTTTTGATGGACGGACTTTCAATCAATGGGACATTTACTTTAATTGGCTTTTAAGATTGAATTGGATAATGGCCTCGTGCGGTTCGCTTGATAAGGCCAGTGCCTACAGCTGGCATGGTTCGTTTGTATACCGCTAGATGGCACAATGGTGGTTTTTGTTGACCACTTTATTGAATAAAACTTTTAATAAATTTGTTTGATTTAAATAATGCCAATGAGCCTATGGAATTTAGTTGTAACTTAACCTTGGTGTTATAAAATATGTAAGACACTCATGAAGTCGAATTTAATTTCCTAATATTGTGTGTGAGTGTAAACGAATAGATAAACTGAGCAATTAGTATTTATTATCTGGTTCCCATTCTTAAAATACGAAACTGCTCTGGTTCTACTTTGAGACATAGCTTTGAGAGTGATATATAGGTAACGTACAACAAGTCGCAACAATATTGTAGGCGTTGTATTTCGCCGGACAACGACCGACCGTCACGATCTGTCTACCCCCGCTCATTCTCCCTGCGTTTGTAAAACAACCCTCCCACTAACCCTCTAGAGCGTGTCTCTAACTCTCATTTGAAAAGCGGCATACTTTGCCTGAATGATTGCCATGTCAAAAACAAAACATTTTATTCAAATATGGGGCAGTTTTACAAAGCATTTTTTGGTAGTCAAGAGACGTTATAAGAAAACCGAAGAAACTTACGAGTAGAATGTTTTTCTCCCAACAGCTACGATTTAATCTTATAAAACATATACCATACCTACTATGTTTATAATATGACGAATGAATCGGCTCGACCGGGGAAGGACCATGCCCTCACAGAAAATACCAGCGTAAAATAGCAGCTTAACGCTGCTGTGTTTCGTATGGTGAGTGTAGAGAACCGGAGACCCTTTTTACTGGAAAAGAGGCATTCCATCTTAGTCCTCACACGTGATAACGCATCTACATTTTAATTCGTACATATATAGTACTATTATTTATTCTGTGGTCTGGACAATTACAAAAGTACTGATTCACGAACGAAGTCGCGGGCACAGCTAGTTTGCAATAATTTAACTCGCAGATTGTGTAGTGTAGTTTTACACGCCACGTCTCCGAGAATGAATCTTCCGAACGCCACACATTATACGCTTGAGTGTGCGCAGCTTAATTATCTGTGTGTGAA